AATTATTTGTAACCACCCATTAAAACCAGTCCTAATGAATAATGGTTGATTGGATATTAATTTTGGATATTAAGAAAACATATTTTGCTACCTTTTAATGTAAGATAATCTAAATGATCATCGTCATAATCTATTTAATAACCTTTAAGATTAGTATTAGGTTCTTGCTGCACTTGCATTAAACTAAATGAATATGTTATAGTATTATCATTAAAAAATTGCAATATAATATAGTAATCATTAAATAAACTCTCAATGTCAACATGAAAAGGAAAAATGACATTCATAGTAGAGTAATATTAGTTTCTTCCTCTTCATTTTTCATGTCATCAATGGAAACAAGATCAATATAAATTAAGATATAATAAAAGATTAAACTTTTAAAATGGTGGAATATAATAAATGCCATCAATGTAATGTAAAGTATGAGAGACGTCAGATACCCATAGCTAGATACACTGTGTAAATTATATAGCTGAAAGAAAATTTGGTACATCACTAAACATCATCTTGATATGTAGAACATCCACGCAATATTGTATCAAACCCTATGATATAATAGGGATTAGAATAATTAGCATGGTACCTACTAAAAAAGTTGTGCAACATGATCAAAGATGTGGCAAACTAATAATTAGTTATAATAAATGTTGAGATGAACTATATTGATAAAAATATTCTAAGTGACATTTTGTGAAACTTCATAAAAAAATGAATCTAATCAGTACTACATTGCCACTCAAGCTAACCATTAAACATAATACACCTATTATTTGTATGTCCAAATAATTTTTGATAATAATAATAAGATGGGTCATTGATCTTGTTGATTTCATCTTTTTTGTGGGAGTTTCATACCTAATTACATAGCTATTTTTAAGAGCTTCTGAATGGCAATTTAGTTAAGAAAATAAGAATGATCAATTCTTACCAATGAATTCAGTTGGAGTTTTTAGTAGAGGGAAGGATTGAATTTGCTAGCTCTATCGTAGTTATATCCATTTTTCATCTAATTTTTCAAGTAGTGGTTGAAACAATAGTAGTTTTCCAAAATTTGTTGAATTGGAGGCTTAAGAAAAATTATCCTTGACTTTCACATAGATACAATACACTTTTAATATTCTCACATTAAATGATAGCTTCTTTTGTAACTAACTTAAGAAATACGAATGAAAGATAACTTTAACAACATAGAAATAGTCGTTGTGATTTGTCCCATTAAAATGGTAACTGCACTATTCTCTTTTATATGTGGTTTACATGTAATAGTTAAGTTTCACCACCTTAAAATATAATCAACCAAAGTCTTAAAAGAATTCTATTGAGTCTTCCTTAGTCCATGCAAGATAAATTTTCAAAGTGAACCATTGAATCTTCTAATAATTACTTTCTTAAATTCTTATATAAAATGCCACAAATACATAAAGTAGCGAAGCATTATGATTGCTAGTGTTACAATATAATGGTTAAAGTTCGACCAATTTCTGGTGAGAGTTGTAAGTACCATCAAATTAAATAAGTACTTAAAAAATCATGGATAAGAGATATATTCATAATCCTCAAGATAAGATCTTCCTTTCTTAATGAATGATTCCGTCTATTGAACTACTATTGCAACCTTTATTTCATCTCAAACATTGATCATAAATGAGTTTCAAAAAGTGATATAGCAAAAACTACTATTAAATATAGGGGAATTAATTTAATTAGGAGTAGTATCAACTACATGTTATTCAACAATAACAAGAATAAGTTATATGGGAGCAAACCTAAATGTTATATTTCTTCTTAGTTGGGCATATGGGGTCATCCACACACTTGGCATTTGAGCCCTTAGAGGTTCTCAATGGCATTTGAGCCCTTATATATCTTCTTCTTCTTTTCCTCCTCCTTCTCTTTTCCATCTTCCAACTTTTATTCATCCTTAGATAGTAAGATTATTCCTTTTCTCTTTCCTTATGTTGGCTTGGGCTTGGGCTTGGGCATTAATGCCTTCTTAGTCCTCTTCCTTGCTAAGTCCATATCAATAACATATTTCCAACTTGATGCTACTATTAGGGCTATAACGGTTTGCATGGGTCGAGTGACTTCTCATCTTTTACAAACACGAGCTCTCTCAACCTCTTTTGATATTTTCCTCGGGCTTGTATGTCTAGTGATGGAGTAGTAGGGATGGAAAGGAACTGTAGGTTTCTAAGGGTGTGTAGAGGAAACCAATTGTGCTTTGTAATTCTATTATGCCTCTATCCTACCTCTCCCTTCCTAAAACTTTTCATTGATGCATAAAGCTCCTCTTCTAAGGCCTAGACTCATTTTGGCAAAGCTACCAAGTAAGATGGCATAGGTTTGGGGACTCTTCACTCATCTATGGGATTCACCAACATAGACATGTCAATGACACACATCCCTTAGGACTCACCCGAGGATCTCAAGATTGCTATCCTAACTTTCATTGGAGACAGAGGGGCACAAGTGTATCTTTCACTAGAGCCTATCTATTTGTGTTAGCCTATATTTGTCATATCATATATTATTTCTTTATATTTTTTAAAGTCTAGCTTTTCCCAAACCCCTTTTAGTCCTATAAATAAGAAATGAAAAGACATTTATTAAGGAAAAAAGAGAGAGACATTCTTTAAAACTTCATACTGTTTCTTAATGTTCATAGAGACCATTTAGCCCCTCTTCTATTTTTCATACTTCACTCTTTTCTCTCACTCTTTCTATCTAAACCTTTTAATCGAGTCAAGTTTTGCCAATGTTAGCCAAATTTCCAAAAAAAAAAAAAGTTAGCCAAATTTCTTTCTTAAATGTAAGCATTTATTGTACAGCTAAGATGGTGATACAGAATTGCTGCGATGGAATTGAATAAATATTAGTCAATTCAAATGCATAAAAACTACGTGTCTTAGAGAAAACAACTAATTGATCCTCTTTTAAAAATTCTTCCATGACCTGTCTCTTCCATCGACAGACAGGAGAGCGTGCCGTCCTGCATCATAAACCTGTATTCCACTCCTTTTACTCATTAAGACTGCAAATTAATCGGATATGAACGCACTGCAATCTTTTTTTATTCACTATTTTGATTATTAGTCGTATACAGACAATCTCATATTTCTAAATATGCTAAAAGATTTAATAACATAAAATATAGCCTTACAAGTACAATGACATCGAAATTAAAAGCTCTTTTGTTGGAACTTTTATTATGTTCGGTGCAAGGACGTAGAGGAACGTCCGGTCGGAAGCAATTTCCCATCAAAAAACTAGGTATTTGCTCGGTACAACTAGGTATTATTTGATAATAATGAAGAATACCGTTCTATGAAGACCAATACCGAGTTATACCGAGCTGTATCGAGAAATACCGAGTTGTACCGAGTTTTTCTGGGAAAAACTCGGTACAACTTTTGGTATAACTCGGTATTTGCTCGGTAAAGCCTGGTATAACTCGGTATTGGGTCTTCAAATGATGATATTCTTCGTTATTGTTTGGTATTGCTCGGTATTTGCTCGGTACAACTCGTTTTTTGGCGGGAATTTGGCTCAGACCGGACGTTCCTCTACGTCCGGTCGGAGGACGTAATAATTGTTCCTTTTGTTGACCTGGTTTCTTTTTGCTATTTCGCTCTTTGATTTTATTCTAATTATGCTTTGTTTGGGACAGTTTTAGACTATTTTTTTCCGGCTTCTAAGAAATTTTATACTAAAATCTATTTTTACGAGCCGTACAATGTTTAGGGACAGCTTTCTTACTACTTTTTAAAACAACTTTTTAGTACAAAATTTTTTGAACTAAGATTTTTTTAAATTTGAAAGCTCTTTTAGAAAGCAATACAAAAGCTATCCTTAATGAAGCCTTAGGATGGCTTTTTATTGCTTCTTAATACAGTTTTAAGAAGCAGTAAGAAAGCTGTTCCAAACAAAGCCATAGGTTTCGTTTGGGACGGCTTTCTTATTGCTTCTTAAAGTAGATTTTTAGTTAAAAATTTTTAATTTTTGTACTAAAAAGCTGCTTCAAGATTCGTTTGGGACGGCTTTCTTCTTACTTTTTCAAACAGCTTTTCAGTACAAAAATTTTTTGAATTTAAAATTTTTGTACTTAAAAGTCATTTTAAAAAGCAGTATGAAAGCTGTCACAAATAAAACCTTAGTCTCCAAAACTAATTAGATGTAAATTAAGGTTACTTAAACTGGCCAATTCCAAATCAGATTTTTGTTTTCCCTGAGGGTTAAGCAAACAGGGAATTAGCTGTGCCAATGGACGTGGCAATTGCCTGTAATAATAGCAGATTGGGGAATTAGCTGTGATCCAGCGTAAGCTGCTAGCTGTCAAGAGAGTTTTACCAATCATTACATAATATTTTATGGAAACTATATATTTCGTTAAGTATTTAATTTTATATTGGTTGTTACAAAGTTTTTTATCATACTGCTGGTATTGCAATATTTTAAGAAATAAAAATAATAACCAATTTATAATAATTATTCTATTATAGCCACAAACCATGGCCTCTTTATCCTAATTAGCTTGATTGCTTTATTTTATTTAATATAAAAATTATTAAGAAATGCTCCGAATAATTAGCCCCATAGACTTTAAATTAATTTGGGGCTCCAAAAGTTAAAAGTTTTCATTGAAAGTTTTGTAGTTCGTGCAAAAAGTCATCGAAGCAATTATGGAGCACAAAAATTTTTTTTTTTGGGGGAAAATTTGGGCAAAGCCCTTATATTTATAGAAACGGTTACATATCAACAAAGAAGAGACTATGGCCAAAAAGGCTGGCTTGAAGAAGCCCAAAAAGGAGAAAATAGAAAATATTACAAGTAAATGGCTAAATGACATAATTAAAGTATAAAAAAGCCATCAAAATTGTAAATCCAAAAAGAAAAGTTTCCAGCAACTAAGTCCACAAAGCTGAAGCCTGGAGAAGAAGCCGAAGATATCAGCTTCAAAAACTTGAGATAGAGCTGAAGATAAAGAGCTGCGTTCGAATTCATCCAGCAACAATCTGCACAAAAAGATATTCCAAAGATCAAGTACAGGTAGTCAGCAAAGAACAAAGCTCCCGATGCTAACTGCCTGGACTCAGATTTTATCAGAAAAATAAGAAAACATATCCCTGGTTGCCAATTGACCTTCCAAGGGATAGTGCAAGGGAGCATCATCATCGTCCAGGTAGTCCCAAAACGCAAATTCCCGAGGGACCCGAAAGGCACAAGAACCGCATAAACGTTTTGCCGCACAAAAATGGATTCCCCAGTACCACAGATCAAATCCAAAATGCTTAGCCAACATCCAAGCAGATTCAGCTCAGATACAAACCAACAGTTACAACATAGCCAACTCCTCCAAAACAGCCAAAAACCTCTCATGAAACCTGCTACCAGCCAACTCAAATATGATCTAGCAAAAGTGTCGAATTTTTCCATTTTGCAACCTTGCCCAAAATAACTTTTTTGATGGAATAGATCAAAGAAGAAGAACTTTGAATATCATTACCAAATCTCCTTCTATTACGCTCCCTCCAGAGATAATAAATAATCCCACAAACCATAAGCATAAAGAACTCTTTGTAAAGAAGGGCACCAGAAAATTCAGATTCCAGCCATTCCATAAGATGCAGCACAATTGGTCTAAGCAAAAAATTTTTAGTGATAGGGAGAAGAGAGTTAAGAATATAGAATGTGAAATTACATTCAAAGAAGATATGGTTCACAGTTTCCGGGGCAACAGAACAAAAAGAACACATTACAGGAACATTAATATTCCTAATTCTCAAGGCATCCTGTGTTTTAAGACCTCCAACCAGTGCAAGCCAAACAAAAACAGAGTGCTTCAAAACATTTTTTCGGTGCCAGACAAAGTTGTGCCAAGAGAAAGAAGGCAAAGAGCAGTAAAACTCCTCAATGAAATCCTTAAATTTAACATTAACACAATCCTTCAAAATTAAGCAAGGACTAGCAGTGCTAGAAATCGGTAAATTGCAAATTTTGTCCCTTATCTGCTGAGGAACAGCAGCAGCAAAATTCCAAGCAGAATTAGCAATATAATGTCTCTGTAATGGAATTGAGAAAAATTCCATCGGAATGTTGCCCACAAAGTCTTGAAGAGTGTTATTATAACACCAATGATCCCAAAACAGAGAAATGGGAGCATTAGGTGTAATAACAAACTTAAAATAAGGTTTAACAGAGGATGCCGTGTGACAGACAGAAATCCAGAATTTACTCGCTTTATGGTTTGGAGGCCTCCATGGTGATGTATATTGAGAAGTTAGCCAAACAGACAATGGAGAAATGCAATTATACATTCTATGAATAACAGAACAGTTAAATGCAAATTGAATGGCATGCAGGCTAGGAATACCCAAACCACCTTTCTCTTTAGGCTTACAAACATTCTCCCAAGAAACCATATGTAGCTTGTTAATAGAAGTGATATCACCAAAGAATAAGAATCTAGAGCAAGTTTTCTCAAAAAACTTAAAAACAGTTTTAGGCAATATAGAGCCCCTGATCCAATATGCAATAGTATCCTGAATAGTGAATTTAAGATACTGCAATCTACCAGCTAGAGAAAGAAGATTAGCTTTCCATCCCGTGAATTTTTTGTGCAAGCTATCCATCAAAGGCAAGAAATCAGCAACTTTCAGCCTATTAAAAGAGATGGGAATACCAAGATAGGAGATCTTGGAGCAAATATTATGAATAGACAATGCATCGCACAAAATATCCTGATTCCTTTGGTTTTTAGAGAACATAACAGAGCACTTGTCATAATTCACATGCAGACCCGAGGCATTTCCAAAGTCTTTAAGGATAGAAGAAAGAAGTCTGCAATTTTCTAATGAAGCTTCACCAAAAATTAACACGTCATCAGCATATAAAAGATGAGAAAGGTTAAAATTTTCAGTAGAAAAACCCTTGAAACCACGAGCATCTAAAAGATTAGAGAAAGAGTCCATCACTAAGCAAAAGAGGTAAGGACTTAGCGGACAGCCTTGCCTAAGGCCCGCAGAAGATGGGAAGAAACCTTCCAAAGCTCCATCAATGACCACCGAGAAGTTCACATTGGAAATACAAGCTTTAATCCAAGAAATGAAAGTTCTAGGGAAACCTTTTTGAAGCAATCTCGCAAGCAAAAACTCCCTAGAAACAGAGTCAAAAGCCTTCCTTATATCAATTTTAGCACAAAACATATTCCCCGTACCTCTTTTATTGACAAAAGAGAGAATATCGTTAGCAAGAAGAATGCTATCAGTGGAAATCCTGGATTTCACAAAACCAGCTTGAGTGTCTTTGACAATAAGAGGCAAAATAGGTTTAAGCCTGTCTGCAATCACTTTAGCAATGATTTTATATATAGTATTGCATAATGAAATAGGTCTATAATCAGAGATAGATGAAGCATTACGGTGTTTAGGAATGATAGCCAAAGCAGTGGCCTTCATCCCACTTGGTATGAATCCTTTAGAAAAAAAGGATTTAATAGCCTTGCATACTAAAGGCCCTATAATATGCCAACCAGTTTTGTAGAAATAGAAATTAAAACCATCCGGACCCGGTGAAGAATTAGAGGAACCTTTAAAGATAGCAGCTTTAATTTCATCATTCATAATAGGAGCAGTGAGTAACCCAGCATAAAAATCCGAAACAGCCGAGCCAATGGGAAAAATTTCTATATTGTTGCAAGAAGGAGGTGGAGGGTTAAACAGTTTTTAAAAATACTCAATAATCGAGTGTATTACCTCCTCTCTAGTTGTGTCAGGATTGCAAGAAAATAAATTAACAACAGATTTTGTGCTCCCCTGTCTACTTCTAATCTTTGCATATAAGAATTTGAGGTTATCCTCACCATGATGCAACCATTTAGATTTTGCTCTTTGAATGATCCAGCTAGAAAGCATAGAAGTGGCATTCGCAATCTCAAGGTTGGATTCTCTGAGAGAAGAGATAAGAGGAACATCCAACGGATTATCCTGAATAAGCTCCAGGATGTTCAGTTGTTTCGCTTGAAGAACATCCAAATGAGTATTAAGAAAATGAGAGTTTGCCCAATGTAGATTTTTAATGGTCCCTTTAAACTGCTTTAGGACATTTGAAAGATGAGATAGCGGATTACCATTCAAAGGCAAAGAAAAAGCATTTAAAAGATAACACCAGTAGCTATCTTGCTTGGTCCAGAAGTTCTTAAACATGAATCTGTGATGAGAATTAGAAGGCAAACCCGGATGAAGAATAGCTGGAGAATGGTCAGAACAAGAAGAACTTTGGAAGGAGTAGAAAGTAGAGGGGAACTGCCTCTTCCACTGGTCATTAACAAGGACCCGGTCTAATTTGATAAAAATAGGATTCACAGATTGCTGGTTATACCAAGTATAAAAACTACCAACCGAGTGCAGATCCAACAAACCATTATCAAAAATCATAGAATTAATATCTACCAAATTATAATGATGAAGGGGAGAACCTCCAGATTTTTTCGTGCCAAATCTACAGCAGTTAAAATCCCCTAAGATAGACCAGGGGATATTGGACGGAGGGGCAGCCGAACCAATCGAAAGCCAAAGAGCCTTTCTATCAAAAACATTATTTGCTGCATAGACAATAGTCAACTGAAACAAGAAACAGTTTCCTACCAAAACATTCCCGTTAATCATTTGCTTCGTGATTACATTAGGAGTAAAACAGAGTTTACTTGAGTCCCATTTAATCCAGATTCTACCAGAAGAAGTCAGATGAAAATTATGACAGCTCTCCTCATTAGGGAAGAGAGAATGAGATATTTTGAAAAAAGGATCATCAAGAGAAGGGGAGTGAATTCGAGTCTCCAAAAGACAAAGCATGTCAAGCTTAAAAGATTTAATAAGACTTTTGCAGTTGAGAACTTTCTCAGCGTGATTAAAACCTCGAACATTCCACGAACCAATGGTAGGGAAGAACATCAGGAAATATGAAGGGATTGGGATTTTTTACTATGCTTTCCCTTAGCAGATTTCTTAGAGATGTCTGACGTAGCTTGTTTTTTCCCCTTTCCTGGCTGCTTGAGAGCATTCCCAACAATATCAGAAGAGGAGGCCATATGTTCATTCATATCAATATCAGTTTGGGAATTGAGAATTTCGAATTTGTTGGGAGAATTAATATCATTCGATGGCTTCTGAGGCGAAACCAAATGCGAGGTAGAGGAAGCAGAGAGCTCTGCAGTGGGAATGTTTAAATTTGGGATATTAACCACATTGTTGTCTGCCGAAACATCCACAGCAACCGGATTCACAACAGGGGTCGGGGGATCTTCCTTGCTGGGAACAGTCCGAGAGGAAGGCGATTTAGAAGTGGGGGGAGGAGAATGAGGTTGATAATTTAAAGGCATCCCAATGGAGTTGGTATGCAAAGGTAATATAGGTAAAGAAGCTGCAGCAGCAGGGGTTGAAGTAGAGACTTCAGTAGGTTTAGGCTCAAACCGAGGAGGTCTGGAAGGAGGACGGGAATGAAACCTGTTACCCGGTTTTTTGCTGAAGCTTCTTCCACGAGGATTAGACAGAGATTTCCCTTGAGCATTATTTGTAGGAGTAGGATTCAACTGACAAGAAGAGGAGTAATGTACCAATGACTTACAGTGGTCACAAGGAGAAGGCCTCCATTCGTATTAAACCTTAAGCCCAACCACATCACCATCCAGCGAAACCTTGATTTCATCTGGATATGAGGCATCACAATCAACCAGAACACAGATACGAGCATAGGTCAGTCTTGTCTTTTGTTCGGTTAGGTGATCTGCAGCCAGGGGAACTCCAATCTTACTAGCTATCCTCGAAATGCCCTCAGAGTTCCAGCAAGCCAGGGGAAGGTCGTGGATTTTGACCCAAATCGGAACCGAAGAGAAATTTTCCCTCTTCGGTTTGAACTTAGGATGCCATTTTTGGAGCACAAAAGGTTTTCCAAGCAGGAACCAAACGCCTTTAGACCAGGCCATGTCGTAATCTTCCACACAAGAAAATCGCAGAAGAAAAAAACCATCGCTGAGCGAAAGAAGTTTGAGAGAACCTTTCAAAGTCCACATTTTGTTTAAAGCATTCAAAAGCGCTTCATAGAAGGGTCTGCGTCCTATGGAGTATCCAACCAAACACAAACTTCCCTGAGCAAGCTTCTCACCGAAAAAAGGAATAACATCCGGTTCATTAGGGTGATGCGAAAAACTGAAGACTTTAGGGGCAGAAGAAGACGCGTCGGGAGCAAAAATCTGACTCCAGTTCCGCATGGAGGCGGGAGGAGCAACAGTAGCTGAGCAGAGAGGCGGAAAATCCGCTGCATGCAGAGTCGAATCCATGGAGAGAAGCCTCTGGCCAAGCCGGAGGGGAGGCGGAAAAGAAGAGGCTCAGCAGGGGAAGGAAACCCTAGCAGAGCGAAAAAAATCTCTCGCGCCTCGCTTCATGTACATTATCATAGAACAAAAATTATGGCTGTCATTAGCTCTTTACTTCAGCCATGGTTTTTAAAACATTGCTTAGTTTTATCAATAAGTTCTTTTAGGGTTTGGGATATCTGTAGCATTTTATAAATTTGTTTGTGGAGTTTTTGTAAAGAAAATATTTTGACTATTCTCGTTATAAAAAGCAGTTTTTCATAACAAAATTTTTTTAAAAAATATTGAGAGAGATGTTTGAGAACAATAAAACATCAACAACAACATCATGTTTTTATCCCACTACATTAAGTCGGGTATATAAATCATTTTTCTTCATTACATCCTAGAAAATAGTAGACAAGCAAAAGTGTGATTGTTATATTAAAAGCAAAATAAAGATAAAGTTTTCCAACACAGACCTTAAATCTATTTCTTATTGCTCATTATCGAAAAGTTGTTTAAAATTTCAACTCATTTTATATCCATCTTAATAGTAAGTTTTTTAGATTTTTCCTTCAAGTGGTAGCCAAAGTCTGATTTCCTTTTAATTTAATTATTTCAAAAGGAAAAGACCCATTTGTTGAATGCAAATTTGTCCATAGATGACACCCAACCGTAATAGCAGGAAAGCCCTTAGAGAAGTGATTTAGAACCTACATAAGAATAGAGAGAAAGAATATATGCTAGAGAAAAGCTAGACAAAAGAGCTCAAAAGCTTAGTGTAAAGATCGACATAAAGATCTCCATTTATAAGAGATTCAAAAAGATAAGAAGACGAAAAATGTAGCTTATCACTACTTATTATTATTATTATTCTAAATGCTACATGAAAGAATATACCTAAGAAAACTAAGAAAAAGTACAACACTCATAGACTATACCAGACACATGGCACCTCTTGGTTTGCAGGGAAAGAGAGGGGGAAATAGAGATCTAATGATCTATTTATGAGCGAGCTCAGTAGTGTTGAGTATGCCATAATCTAGCATTATAATGTGGGTGAACATGGTAATGTCTAGTAGGTCTGGGCAATTTTACAACCGAGTTACGAGTAAGGTATGTGTAATTATTGAGTGATGACTAGGAGCTGCTGAAAACCTATATTGACCCTTGAATCATCTAAAAGAGAGGGCGAATGAACTAAGGTTATAAATAATATGAACTAAGTAGTTGGCTTATTAGAGTAGGGCCAGTTAATTGCCCTTTGGATATGTGCTTTCCTACAACTAGACTTTAATGTGTGGGGACAAAGGAAACCACCCAAACCCAGAGCGAGTTGTTGTGATGGTTGTGTCCTTTTCATGTAATGAGTTTCAAGTTACATGGTTGACAAGGTCCTAATTTCCTCTAAGAAAGGCATCCATCCTTCATAGACCTAGATGAGTGGGGCATGATATTTCTTGAGTGAGTTTCTCTGTGGGCAACATTATATGTGAGACCATTCTTTGTAACCTATCCAATACCTACTAAATACCTATAATGGCATATATGTGTATATTCCATTGCTTTCAAATTCATACTTCTTATACTTGGTGGTTGACCTAATTTTTTCTTGCATGAACAAATGTTAAAATTTTTTGAGTGAGTTTATCACATTAAAATTAATTTTTAATATCTTAAACAAATTTTAAATTATATTAACTATTTTTTGATAAAATATTCATGTCAAATAAATAATTTCTCCATTGATTTCCTTAAGATATATATATTTATGAATGTTAAATGGCTTCGAGGGATACATGAAAGGATACACAAAAAAGTCAAAGGTACAATGCTTCACACTACCCTAGAAACAAGTCACCTTTTAATTTGTTGAACGTGGGTATAGTCAAAAGGATTCAATGAATTTTCTCTTGATTATATATATGATGTCAAGTAGATAACATCAAGTGTTCTCAAGAAAGTTTGTAGGAGAGTATTGAGATGAAAAAGGGGGCTAGTGATTGGTGAGTTGGTTGATGTAGCTAGTGACTTATATGGAAGCACTATGATCACCTTGAGATGAGAAGGGAAACTGTCATGCTATTATGGGAAGAGAGAGTACTGACTTGGATGGTTAAGGCAATTCAAATTGATGGTCCCTTAGATAGCCACCTTCATGACTCTGAGTTTGGTGAGAGCAATCACCATTGAAGATAATTGTTGACCTCTTTTATTTTCTGAAGTCAAAACTACAAATAAATGCTTTAGTCTTGATTTTCAATTCCATAAACTCCACTTGATTAAATCAAGATTTACCACTTTTCTCTAGCATGGTGATTCAATCATTGAACCCTAAATTATTTGATATTTACCTTTGATGGTCATTTGATCAACCACTCTATCATTGACAACCCAATAATTGTTAATGATCTCGGCATTTTAAAATCCTAAACCTTCAATAAACCATAAAGCCCAACCTAAATTAAATCCAAAATCAAATAGTGCTTAAGACTCCAAACCCATAATTTCAGTTTTTAAATCAAAATCATAAAGCCTTTGAACTTCTCTTTATTTCAAGAGAATTTTCAATTGACTCAAAACCTTGGGTGAAGGTTATGAAATGGTGTTTGATCATTCACATATAAAATATGAATGTCCCTTGAGTCTACCTAAACATTTTGGAGGCTTTCATGTCTTGTTAAACCCTAAAACACAAAGAATTTTCCAAGGCTATAAAACATTCAAATATTTATAGCCCATGTCATTAGACATGTCATCTTGTTGCTAACTACCTTCGAAGCTTTTGAAACCCATCAAATATATTCATAATCATTTTCATATTGGTTTGAACTCCCTTAAACCTTTGGTAGATTATGGTTGACCAAGAAATCCATAAACTCTAAAATTGACCTTTCGAACAAATCCTTCATGGATCATCCATGCCATTACCAAAGACCACTTCAAAAAAACTCTTAATCACATTTGGAGTAGATTGAACCTAGACCCACACTCTAGTTAAGCTGAGTTGACAAAGTTAACCCAAATTGACCAAATGGGCCCCTTTAACCCAAGAAATTGCATTTCTTACATGTAGACCTCACCATGGCATAAAACCTCTTCCAACAAGTTCTAAATGTCATTTGGAATGAGTTGGTCCCAACCCCAACCCCAACCCCTAGTAAAACTTTGTTGACCAAGTCAATCATGGTTAACCAGACTAGCCTTAATGTTGTTAATATTTAAATTGATACATTTAGATCAAACAAAAGTACCCAAACCCATAGTGATTTTTGATAGGGTCCCTAAGGTTCAATAAAAAAAAGATTTAGCCCATAAGCTCACTTGGGCTAGCCGTATGACATAACCCAAGTTAACCCAAAGAGATTTTCTTGAGCCAAATCCTAAAGCTTGTAAAATTAAATTGAATATACACTTATATTAAGTGTCCATGAAACCTTTGCTCCAAACACAGTAAGCCCATCCCATTTGTTGACCTTGGTAAACAATTTGGATTGACCCAAACCATTAAAAACTAAAATTCTTGGTTTCATTCATTTCCAACCCCAAATTAAACTTCATAAATGTGGACCTCCAAAAGAGCACCGCGCGAACGGG